AAAAAAAAAAAAAAAAAAAAAAGTAGTAAGTTATTTTGAGTTTAAAATTTTCTCCTTACAGGTTAACCTCACCCTACAGATGAAGATAATAGAGCAAGAAAAAGAAATTGCAGAACTAAAGAAGCAGCTAAACCTCCTTTCTCAAGACAAAGGGGTGAGGGATGATGGAAAGGATGGGGGTGTACCTGTCTAGCCTTCCTCAGGCTGTATCTGTAGGATGAAAGTGGGCTTAAACCTTTAAGGTAGTTAACTGGAATGTAAATTTTTAATCTTTGTTAGGGTATAGTTGATATAATTCTTAGTTGTATTTAGTAAGCCTTTACAAGATTTATTAAAGATGCAAGAGTGCCCCAAGCTCCTGCTCCTTCCCTTTCTGCCCCACAAGCTCCTTTTCCTCAATTTCCTACCTAAATATTACCATATGCCTAGTCTCTGAAACCAAAAGCTTTGACCTCATCCTCAATTACTTTCTCTTTTCAACTTTGTTGACCCTCTCTCTGGTCTTCCTTTAGAAGGTTCTACTGCGGAAATTGACCTGTGCTCCCCGCCCTGTCACTGCCCAAGCCCAGGCCTGCACATACTCACTGGACTGTTCCAGTTTTGACAGCTGCCAGTCTTCCTGCCCGCTTCACACTGCTTCCTATGTTAATTACCAGAAGGACGCCTGACCATTTCATTCCTTGGCTCCAAATCTGCTGCTGCCTCTAAGATAAAACTCAACTTCTTAACAGTATACAGTGTGCAGCTTCCAACCTTTTTATCTGTTCTCTCCACTTCAATTTACTGTCATCCCAAAACCACACCCTTGCAGAACTTTGTACTCCTCACCCCAGATGATCTCAAGGCGGCTCAGATGTCTTTCCGACCTTTGCCCTGCCCTGTCCCTAGCATTTCCTCCTTTATTACAGCACTCAACTCCCCAGCCAATTACATCTCAGGGGCAGCAAGCTGAATTGGTTTTTGAAAGGGTCTGTCATGGAGTTGGCAGTCATCATGGTAGATGGCACATGATTTTGCTGAATTTTAAATAAAATGAGAACCACAAATTACATGATGCTTTTATTGACACAACTGGCCTAAATAAAAAGAACTTGAAACTTAATACAAGTCCCTTAACTGGTAATAGGCATGAAACAGCACCATTCTTAAGATCTAAACCCTTTAAAATCAATTATGGAAATTCACTTAAGGAGCTTGAGGGCTGTGTTAAAAGGAGCCAAGTTTTCACAAGACCTCATCCACCTCTGCACGTTGGCTGGCACTGTCACACTGCAGCCTCCGGTCTGCTGGAGTACAGACCACAGCACTACATCTGCTACAGTGAGTTCATTCCCAGCAAGCCAAGGGCTCTTTCCAAGAGCAGAGTTCATGGAGCGGAAAACAGCAGCTTTTTCTTTACTGCTTCCCTCTTTTAACTGAAAAATGGCAATATCTACCCAGCTATCTATGAGAGTTGCGTTGACAGCATTATGCTTCTGGCCAAACAGAGAGAACAAGAAACGCGCAATGTTCCCTTCTCCTTCGATGGGGCACATCGTCTGGACGCTGAATTTCATCTGAGTCTTTGGCACTGAAAAGAAAAAACACACACCACCAGGTAGCATCACAGGAGTAGCCCTGAGGGAAGTAGGTACTTCCTCAGTGTGGAAGGGGATAGTCACCAAAACCACAACTGATGACACGGGAAAGGGTGTTTCCAAGAACATCACATTTTCAGTCTGTCTCCAAGATGCTTAATACTGAAAAGGATTTAAATGCTATTTTGTTAAAAAGTAACCAAAGAGCCATTCCTGGTATTTGATGACAATTCTGAAGCTAGAAGACACCTCAGACCACCTGCTCCAATCCCTGTTGCCTAAGGATCTGGGGCTGAGGACTAGAAACCCAAAAGTTGCATCTTCTAGGCTCTCAGTCCTCATAATTGCTCCCCTTATGTGAAGCTGAGGGCAGTTAAGGTACCACTGGATGAATGACACGAACTCACTTCCCTCCATAAAAACGTAACCAGAAGAGGCATACATCCATGGGATAGTGAATATGTGACATCCATCTTTATACGGCCATATGAGAAGATAACTTTGGTGTCCCTATGATGGTAAGTTTTAGAATGTGAGGGCAAGATGGTGGACAGCCATGACTTCCCTGCTTTGCCTGGTTGGACAACCCCCTTCCTCTGACACCTCACAATTCCCTCTTGAGCTGTGTCTCACTCAGAAACCCTACATTTTGCAGAGGAACAAGGACATCTTCGTGTTGCTTCATCTCTGCTCTTCCTCTCCAACAACCCCACAGGCATTCTAGACTTAGAAGATTTGACCTGATGCAAACTGCTGTATGGCCTATATGCTACAGAATATCCTAACCCCTTGCTGCCTCTTATCAAAACCATGTTGCACATCATATAGTACAGTTGATCCTTGAACAATGTGGGGGTTAGGCCACTGCGCCCCACTGCCATGCAGGTGAAAATCCACCTAAAACTTTTGACTCCTTCAAAACTTAACTACTAATAGCTTACTACTGATGGGAAGCCTTACCCATGACAGTTGATTAACACACGTTTTGTATAGTCTATATATTATAAGCTATAGTCTTACAATAAACTTGAGAAAATGTTAAGAAAACAATAAGGATGCTGGGCATGGTAGCTCACACCTGTAGTCCCTGCTGCCTGGGAGGCTGAGGTGGGAGGATCACCTGAGCGCAGAAGGTTGAGGCTGTGGTGAGCTATGATCACACCACTGCACTCCAGCCTAGGTGACAGAGCAATATCCTGCCTCTTAAAAGGAAAAAGATAATGAATTTACTATTCATTATGTTGAAGTGGATCATCACAAAGGTCTTCATCCCATGGTCCTCATGCCGCTGAGGAAGAGGGGTTGGTCTTGCTGTCTTGGGTGGCAGAGGCGGAAGAGGTGGAAGGGGAGGCAGGAAAGGAGGAGAGGCAAGCATAGTCGATGTAACTTTAGGGAAACACATCATAATTTGACCTTTTGCCTTTTAATATCTCTAAAAACAGTTCTATGCAGTATGAATCCTTCCACCGTTTGCTTTAGTTTCAGTGCTTGTATCATAGAAGACTTCAGGTCATAAAAGCAGTCAAAAGCAGCCCTGAGTGATCAGAACCCCTCTCTCAGACGGTCTAATGGAAATCTGCTTTCTAGCGCTGCTGCTTCACTGTCTGGCACTGGTTTGGAAGCACTTCTCTCCATTAAGTTGTCTTCTGTCAGTTCCTCTGTGCAATGTCTGTTAGCCATTGAATTTCTCCAAGATCTGGATCCTGAAACTCTTTACCACCCACTTTTGCCCTATCTATGATCTGTTTCATGGTTTCCTTGATTGATTTTTTTATTTTTTAAATAATACAGATGGGGTTTCACCTTGTTGTTCAGGGTGGTTTTGGACTCCTGACCTCAGGTATCCACCCACCTCGGCCTCCCAAAGTGCTGGGATTATAGGTGTGAGCCACCACACCCGGCCTAGTTTCCTTGATTAACTGTTGTAAATCCTATGAAGTCATGCAAATCTGGACACAGGTTTCTCCGGCACGAATTTACTGTTTCACTGTGATGGCTTTCACAGCTTTTTATACAATGATGGCCTCTTAAATGATGTAATCCTTCCAGACTCTTCATGATGTTCTAGCAGGGTTCTCTTTTTTTTTTTGAGACGCAGTCTCGCTCTGTCACCCAGGCTGGAGTTCAGTGGCATGATCTAGGCTCACTGCAACCTCTGCCTCCTGGGTTCAAGCAATTCTGCCTCAGACTCCCGAGTAGCTGGAGTTACAGGCGTGTGCTAACACGCCCGGCCAGGGTTCTCTTTCATAGCACTGACAGTTATTTCATAGAGTGACGTGTGTAATGAGCATCAGAGGTTCTTAAGACTTTTTGATCTAGAGGCTGAAATAGTGACGTTGTGTTATGAAGAAGTAGACCACTTTGACACCGTTGATGTTAACTCAGGGTTCTGAGAGGCTGAGCACTGAAGAATGTTAAAAGGTGTCCCTTACTGGCATCAATGGAATTAATCCACAAAAAGGGTTCTTGTCCAGACGTTGTACAATCAAAAGACTAGCAGCTGTGTTTATCTTTTCCCGTTAAGTCTCGGGTGTTAGCAGCTTTATAGGTAAGAGTACTCCCTGCACAAAACAGGAGGATTAGCCTAGCTTTCCCTGCCTTCAATCCTGGGGCTCACTCTTCTTTACTAATAAATGCCCTTTGTGTTTTTTCACCCCACCCCAGATGAGGGCAGTTTTGTCTGCATTAAAAACCTGTCAACACAGATCCTTTCCCTCTATGATTTTCTTAATGGCATCTGGGAACTTGTCTGCTACCTCTTGGTTGGTGGAAGCTGCTTCTCCTCTTATCTTGACATTTTTAAAAGCCAAACCTCTTCCTAAAATTATCAACCATCTTCTGCTGGCATTAAACTCTCCAGCTTTAGATCTTTCACCTTCCTTTGGCTTCAAGTTGTCATGTAATGACTTTGCTTTTTCCCAAATCATATGAGAGTCTATAGGTATGCCTTCCTAACAGTAATCCTGCACCCCACAGAAAAGCTACATTTTCTTGTCTTTTTTTTTTTGAGATGGAGTCTCACTCTGTAGCCCAGGCTGGAGTGCAGTGGTGCAATCTCAGTTCGCTGCAACCTCTGCCTCCTGGGTTCAACCAATTTTCCTGTCTCAGCCTCCCAAGTAGCTGGTACTAGAGGAGAAGGCCACCACGCCTGGCTAATTGTTGTGTTTTTAGTAGAGATGGGGTTTCACCATATTGGTCAGTCTGGTCTTGAACTCCTGACCTCAGGTGATTCACCTGCCTCAGCCTCCCAAAGTGCTGGGAATACAGGGGTGAGCCACTGCGCCCAGCCAAAAGCTGCATTTTCAATATGAGGTGAATAGGTATTTTGCAAAAAATGCAACGTTTTTGTACCTGTTAGTGTAGCTATAGTGATGCCTTCATGAATTCCCTCCCCCAGTTTTTTTTTTGAGAGAGTCTTGCTCTGTCGCTACGCTAGAGTGCAGTGTCACAATCTCAGCTCACTGCAACCTCTGCCTCCCGGGTTCAAGCAATTCTCCTGCCTCAGCCTCCTAAGCAGCTGGGACTACGGGTGCGTGCCACCATGCCCAGTTAATTTTTCTGTTTTAGTAGAGATGGGGTGTCACCTGATCTTGGCCAGGATGGTCTCAATCTCTTGACCTTGTGATCCACCTGCCTTGGCCTCCCAAAGTGCTGGGATTACAGGTGTTAGCCACCGCACCCGGCTGAATTTCCCTTGTTTTAAACAATAGTTCTTATACTGAATTCATTTATCTTGAAGTGGCAGCTGCAGATCTCTGGTACATACCAAGCAATTCAACATTTTCATGTAATATCATGACTTTTCTCTGCTTCTTAGGAGCACTCTCTGTATCACAAGAGACACTTTGTAAATGCCCCACAGTGTTACTCAAGGTTAATGGCAATGCACAATGAAAAATACCCAAAACATGATGAAAAATACCCAAGAACCTGAAGAGATCACTTTTTACTGCAACATGCAATTTCCTGGAGAGATGAATGAACTGCTCACACAGAGATGATTAGCGTCACATGGTGTTTGAAGCAGATACACCCCATACTTGAGGCGGCTGTGAAATTATTACAGCAGTACAGTATGTTCTACAGTGAATTTTATGCAGTTGGGATTCCATGCTCATCTTCATGTTTGTTTGCATTTCTCTCAATGCAAGTGGTGCCATGTATAGTAAGTGTGTATTTTTGATGCATTTTAACTTTTGTAATAGATTTGTATACATTTTGTGGTAGCAAATGATAAAATAGACTAGTACGTAAATATTTTGTGCATCATCGCTTCTTCTTACTTGTTTTGATATTTCTAGGCTACGTGGTTTATATGCCAGTTTTTTCAAATTGTTGCAGATCTCCAAAAAATTTTCCAAGGTATTTACTGAAAAAAATCCACAAGGCCGGGGGTGGTGGCTCACGAGGTCAGATGGAGTTCCAGACCAGCCTGACCAAAAAAATACAAAAAAAGTTGGCTGGGCATGGTGGTGCATGCCTGTAATCTCAGCTACTTGGGAAGCTGAGGTAGAAGAATCGCTTGAACCTGGGAGACGGAGGTTGCAGTGAGCTGAGATCACGCCACTGTACTCCAGCGTGGGCCACAGAGTGACACTTTGTCTCATTAAAAAAAAAAAAATTCAGATTTTAGTGGACCCATGGAGGTCAAACTCGTGGTGTTCAAGGGTCAGCTGTGTTTAAGTTTAACTCATTCCCATCTACTTACCATTCTTCCAAATTAAAGTGAATCCCAGCTGATAGTCTTGGCGGGGCTGTTTTAGATTCTGTTCTCCAAAGCACTTGAGCAGGTTTTCAGGCACACTCTTGACTGATGAGTGCGTGTGCACTATGGCCAGGACCCTGAAGTGCTCACAGAGCAGCCTGTGCAGCACCAGCAGGGAGAGGGGCGGGGAGGCCGGGTTTGCGTTGATCACGATGTCTTTCAGTGCCCCATAATCCTGGGGAAAGACCGAGACAGTGTAGCGAGTAACAGTAATCAGAGCGTGCGCCACTGTGCCGGGTGTGAGTCTAGCAGCCTAATCAGGGTTCTCTGACTCCTCCATGTCCATGAAGAAGGCACTAGCATCATCTCCACGTTACGGCCAGTAACTTATCCAAGGTCACTCGCTCAGGATGGAGTGAAGCTGGGATATGAGCTGACTCCACCCCCTTACCCCCAACAAATAAAAAGTTGACTTCACTGTCAAATAAAACAACGTTAACAGGAATGAAACTTTTTTTCTTTTTGAGATGGAGTCTCGCTCTGTTGCCCAGGCTGGAGTGCAGTGGCATGATCTCTGCTCACTGCCACCTCTGCCTCCCAGGTTCAAGCAATTCTCCTGCCTCAGCTTCCTGAGTGGCTGGGTTCAGGTGCCTGCCACCATGCCTGGCTAATTTTTATTTTTATTTTATTTTTAGTAGAGATGGGGTTTTGCTATGTTGCCCAAGCTGTTCTCGAACTCCTGGCCTCAAGTGATCCGTCCATCTTGGCCTCCAAAAGTGCTGGGATTACAGATGGGAGCCATGGCACCTGGCCTAGGAATGATAGTTCTGTTTGTCCCTTTTACCTGCAATTATTCCAGCTACTGAATCTTTCCAACACCTGACCACAGACAATTTGTGTTCATTAAGATGTTTCCACGAAGAACCCCTTAAGAGAAGGGGTCTTGGCTGGCCAGGCGAGGTGACTCACACCTGTAATTCCAGCACTTTGGGAGGCTGAGGCAGGCACATCACAAGGTCAGGAGATTGAGACCATCCTGGCCAACATGGTGAAACCCTGTCTCTACTAAAATACAAAAATTAGCCGGGTGTGGTGGCAGGCGCCTGTAATCCCAGCTACTCGGGAGGCTGAGGCAGGGGAATTGCTTGAACTAGGAGGCAGAGGTTGCAGTGAGCCAAGATTGCGCCACTGCACTCCAGCCTGGGTGAAAGAGAGACTCTGTCTAAAAAAAAAAAAAAAAAAAAAAGAAAAAGAAGGGGTCTTGGCGCAAGATCTCATTGGTGGTGAGTGGTGGGGAGATTCTAAAATACTAGGGATTAACCGAAGTGCTGGGACTGATTAGCCTTGTTTTCTCCCTCTCTGCAACACACTTCAGTGCCAGTGGCCCATGGGTACAGAGGCCAGGCAATGGTTCAAGGCCACAATTTTCTCTGGCATGGGGCACTATGAGAGGTCTGGGGGTGGTGGGCTTATCATAAATCCAAACCCATGCATGACAGCCTTTTTAGATAAAGACTTTATTTCTTCTATGCTTTCACTCTTAATAATGAATGCACTGATGTGAACACTCATGGCCAAACTCCCTGGCTTTCTGTCCACTGCCTGCCATTCCTGACCAATGTCCCACCCATCAGGCTATACAGAATGCCTTGCAGGTCCCTGAACATATTGTATTACTTGATGCTGGGCCATCTGAGGTATCAGAATTTATCTGGAGTACCATGCTCTCTGAGAAGCCTCCCAGAACCACAAGAATCCACTGTCACGGCCGCTCGTACTCGACAACTCATCTGCTAGGCTTGGGCTCCCTGAGGGCCTGGTTCATCTCATCTGAGTCCTCAGTGCATGCCAAGTACTGGCTGAATGAAGGAGCAGGGGAAGGAATATGTGAATGCAGACGGTACTAAGGTTACCAAAACACCCCAGCCCTGGAAAAGACCCCACAACGATGCTTGCATTTTTTAGGTCTTTAAGTGCTATTCTATCACCAATTCTAGAGGAGGCTATTGGTAGGGATGCTTGGGACAAACCCTTTTGCACCCTCAAATAAATACCACTTTGTTGTAACAAATGAGATGGTCTTTCTTTGCATGTCAGATTCTCCCATAAATTAGCTGGAGCCTGTAAACGTCAATCATGAGAGCTGGCTGATGCAACTTACTTGTAATACAGCAAACTGAATTCAAGCAAAATGCATTTGAAATATGAGACTGTGACTGGCCTAAGCCATGCATTTCAAAAGGATTGCTAGGATTTTTGTGCCTGGGCAGCCATGGTTCTGAATGTCCACCTACTACCAAAGAGAATCTGGGTTGCCCTGCTCCACCTCTGGGGAACACTGAGCAAACCAGCTGAGATCTGTTCTTCCAGGGCTCGGAGGCTGCGGGACCCATGCCAGGACTGGCAGAGGCTGTAACTCTTTTGACTCCTCTTCTGCCTACAGATCCTCCCTGTCCTCTAGTCCGCCTGAGAAGTCAAGAGGCTTTAGAGCTTGTTCTGACTTCACTCCTGCCTTGGGAATCTGTTCTGTGCAAAGGAACACTCAATTAGAGAAGAAAAAACATGAACGTGCTTTTTGCTCTGCCTTTGGAAACTAGAAAGCCAAGGCACTAATCACAGTAGCACAATTTCCCTACACTAACCACCCAGCACACACTGACGTTTCAGCTTTCAAAACGAACTTACCTTCCCAAGCAGTGAATTCAAGTCCAATGCATTGGTGGTTAAAGTTGTGGGCTCATCAGCTTGGATTATGTTGGTTACATCCAAGTCTGCATCTGGTGTCTGAATCATCTTGGAGAGACCATCAACTGCAGCTTTCAACTCATACAAACGTTTTAAAATATCATCTTGGCGGGACTCAAGAGCTTGAAGAGACGGGTTAGGCTCTTCCTAAACAAACCAACAGCCAAATGTTCACTTCCTCGCAAGTCAGACCAGTGTTGTTTAAATTTGATCATTTGCCATGCACTCACCAAGCCTCCCACCCTTTAAAAGAAGACATTAGGGGCTGGGTGCGGTCGTACAAGCCTGTAATCCTAGCACTTTGAGAGGCTGAGGCAGGCGGATCATGAGGTGAGGAATGGAGACCATTCCGGCCAGCATGGTGAAACCCCATTTCTACTAAAATACAATAAAAATTAGCCAGGCTAGGTGTCACGCGCCTGTAGTCCCAGCTATTCAGGAGGCTGAGGCAGAGGAATCATTTGAGCCCAGGAGGCAGAAGTTACAGTGCGCCAAGACTGCACCACTGCACTCCAGCCTGGGTAACAAGAGCGAAACTCTATCTCAAAAAAAAAAAAAACAAAAAAAACAAAAAAAAAACCATTATCAGGTGCTGACTGAAAATAATTTTGAAAGCAAGATGTGTGACACGGAGGGCTACTACCTGTGTAATATTGTTACTTAATGGTAAGTCCTGAGTCATATTTCCAATCTCCTGTTTGTGTATAAGCTTGCTAATTTCTACAAATGACAGTAGGATGTCTGCTCCAATAGGGCCAAAAATGCATCAGCTGGATTCAAAGCTCAGTCAGGGCCAGGGGGCAGTGGCTCAGGCCTGTAATCCCAGCACTTTGGGAGGCTGAGAGGGGCAGATCACTCGCGGTCAGGGGTTCGAGACCAGCCTAGCCAACATGGTGAAACCCCATCTCTACTAAAAATACAAAAATTAGCTGGGCGTGGCGGTGAGCACCTGTAATCCCAGCTACTCAAGAGGCTGAGACAGAAGAATCGCTTGAACCCAGGAGGCGGAGGTTGCAGTGAGTTGAGATCGCACCACAGCACTACAGCCTGAGTGACAGACACTCCACCTCAAAAACAAAAACAAAACAAAAACAAAAAACTCGTTCAGGAATGAAGAATGTCTGAAGCACTGTTTGAGTAACGTGGCTTGTGATTTAGAAGCTCTGAGTGCAGCTTTATCTAGTCCTTTGTGATCTGAATAATAAAATGTTTAAGATCTGTTTTATCTCATTGGTGCCTTCTAATGTTGGCCTATTGTTTTCCTTGCTGGGACTGGATTGTGATGTGGTATATTGTTTTTATCAATTTGTTTTAATTTATATGTATTTATAAGCAGCTTATTCTTCATGTTGCTCTCATTTACCCTGGAGATGCTTGATTGCTTGCTTCCTTTTTTTTTTGAGACGGAGTTTTGCTCTTATTGCCCAGACTGGAGTACAATGACGTGGCCTCGGCTCACCGAAACCTCTGCCTCCCAGGTGCAAGTGATTCTCCTGCCTCAGCCTCCCAAGTATCTGGGATTACAGGCATGCACCACCATGCCCAGCTAAATTTTTATATTTTTAGTAGAGACGGGGTTTCTCCATATTGGTCAGGCTGGTCTTGAACTCCTGACCTCAGGTGATCTGCCCCTCCTCGGGTCCCCAAAGTGTTAGGATTACAGCTGTGAGCCACTGCACCTGGCCTTTTTTTTTTTCTTTTTGAGACAGGGTTTCACTCTGTTGCCCATGCTGGGTGCAGTAGCACGATCACAGCTCAATGCAGCCCTGACATCCTGGGCTCAAGTGATCCTCCCCCCTCAGCCTCCTGAGTAGCTGGGACTATCATCTCATGCCACCACATCTGGCTAATTTTTGTACTTTTTGTAAAGATGGGGTTTCACTGTGTTGCCCAGTTTGGCTTTTAAATCCTAGGTTCAAATGATCCTCCTGCCTTGGTCTCCCAAAGTGCCGGGATTACAGGCGTGAGCCACCGCACCTGACAAAGATGTTTTACTGCTAATTATTTGTCTGTCCACATTGTTATCATCTCCTAGAGAAATTGCTAGAAAAGTGAGATTACATGTCTTCTAAGTTCACAAATAAGAGCCCAAAGGAAGTTAGGCAGCAGATGACAGAACCACCCAACCAAGAACCCCTGCAAAACTTGGTCTTCAATGAGAGGTGACATTCTCCAACCTGGGCTGTCTTTCTGGTCTCATGGGACTGTGTAGTTGAAGGAGTACTGGGCTTGTTTCCAAGGCATTGAACCATGTCTGCTATTTCTATCTTAGCTCTGTACTGAAATAACAGTTGTGTTACTGGGTTTCAAAAGAAAGTCCCTTCCTCCTGATCTAGGCAGAAAGCCATTAAAGAAAACAGAAGGAAAACAAGCAGTGGGAGGCCAGGCAAGGCGGCTCACACCTGTAATCCCAGCACTTTGGGAGGCTGAGGCAGGCGGATCACCTGAGGTCGGGAGTTCAAGCCCAGCCTGGCCAATATGAAGAAACCCTGTCTCTATTAACAATACAAAATATGCAAAATTAGCAGGGCGTGGTGGTACCTGCCTGTAATCCCAGCTACTCGGGAAGCTGAGGCAGGAGAATCAGTTGAACCCAGGAGGCTGAGAGCTGAGACTGTGCCATTGTACTCCAGCCTGGGCAAGAGGGAGACTCCATCTCCAAAAAAAAAGCAGTGGGAAAACAGACCAGAAAAGTTACCGATTCACCCATCTTGTGTCAGAATAGACAGACCCATTTCTCCTGCTGGAAACATGGGATGTATGTTTGCCATGAGAAAAGGGTGAAAGATTTGAGCAGGTACATTACAAAAGAGAAATCACAGCGGCCAATGAACATGAAAAAAGGTCCTCAACTTAGAGAAGTCTGGAGAAACCCAAACTAAAACTACCTTAGAATACCACACCACACCACACCCACCAGCTTTGGGAAGGGTGCAAACATCACAGAGTTTTCTACCCTGCCAGTGAGAGCATAAACCAGTATAACTACTTTGGAAAACAATTTAGCAAAGTGGAAGCCAGACTGGCCACTGAGCCAGAAGTCTCATTCATTAGTACATACCCCATGCCTGCTCCTCTGTATAAGAGTATTCACTGCAGAATCATTCATAGCAGGTTAAAATGGAAAACAATCCAGTGTCCCTGAGCAAGTAGAATGGATAAGTATATGGTGCAGAGTCATGCAACAGAACAGTATACTATAGAGAAGATGAATACTTCCATTGTTACAGTAAAATGACTCTTAAAATCATGTCTACAAAATAGAAGCCAGGGCTGGGCACCCATGGCTCCTGTTTGTAACCCCTGGACTTTGGGAGGCTGGGGTTAGAGGATAGCTTGAGGCCAGGAGATTGAGATCACCTTGGATCTCCATAACCACCTTTTATTTAGAGATGTAGTGAGACCCCCACCTCTACATTAAAAAAAAAAAAAAAAAAGTGCCAGACACATCAGAATATATACTGCATGCTTACCTATATTAAGACTATATTGTTTAGGGGCCGGGCGCAGTGGCTCACACCTGTATCCCACCTTGGGAGGTCAAGGTGGGTGGATCGCTTAAGGTCAGCCTGAAACCCAGCTCTACTAAAAATACAAAAATTAGCTGGGTGCAATGGACGCCACCTGTAATCTCAGCTACTCAGGAGGCTGAAGCAGGAGAACTGCTTGGACTTGGGAAGTGGAGGTAGCAGTTAATGGAGATCACGCCACTGTACTCCAGCCTGGGTGACAGAGTGAGACTCCGTATGAAAAAAAAAAACAAAACAGGGCCGGGCGCGGTGGCTCAAGCCTGTAATCCCAGCACTTTGAGAGGCCAAGGCGGGTGGATCACGAGGTCAAGAGATCGAGACCATCCTCGTCAACATGGTGAAACCCCGTCTCTACTAAAAATACAAAAAATTAGCTGGGCATGGTGGCACGTGCCTGTAGTCCCAGCTACTCAGGAGGCTGAGGCAGGAGAACTGCCTGAACCCGGG